TTTTTTGGTACAATACCCAATGGTAGATTATAAATCACGTGTACGCACATCATTTCATCACGTACCAACATTCTTTCCAACGCGTCGTCGCATCACGTCTTTCCTGTCCGCGTTTGCAAACATGTCAATCGTCACTGTCCACATAGATATTGATCACAACGCAGAACTCGGTTAGTATGCTCAGTACAGTCAGTATATTACAGTGTCCAATGTATTCGGATACATAATTCATTGTATCCATTATGTAGAGATAATAAAGGATTTCCTACTCAACTTCAAGACAAGCCCTCCCAGGGAAGATGCTATGGACATCGATGGCGAAGATGTAGTTGATAATGAGGGAACACATAAATACAGAATACAACTGGTCAGTTTTCAAATAAGTTAAAGATTCAAAACGTGCGCATGTTTGAATTCTTACATTGTCGAATGGTATAACGTTTACTTGCATGCGGTCTCGTTTATAGCAACAAATAGCGGACAGAAGGCAAAAATCGCTGTACATTGAGCTTGAGGATATAGCCACGGTATGCTTTAATGAATATTGTATAACACAACGATTCAGATTGCTTCGGTAAACATTCTTACGAATTCAAACTTACGTGCGTCGCCCATTTTGCAACATTTGAATTTCAGTTTCAAAAGACTCATGATGAGTTGTTCAAACGCATAACCAAAATGCGAAGAGATATGTCGACCTATTTTGTCGCGCGATAGATGCAATAATGCCTTCATCGACTGTAGAATTGAGTGTAGAAGATGAAGATATGGACTGGAGAATCCATGATCTAACGGAGAAGGCTAAAGCAAGCGACCAGAGCATGGGACCTGCATTTCCACCTTCGTTGCTAAGGAGATAGTAAGTAGGTGGGAAATAAGTGATGTAGAAAATAGGTAGAGGGAAAATGGTGATTGGAACAATATTTAGAGCAGTGAACATGATCCCGTTTGAAATGGCTTTGTGAATTCCGTTACATGCTTCAAAACTCACCATCCATACTTTGTTCCATAATTTTTCTATTACAGCCATATTTACCTAATCCCGCCATCTCAATCACCCACATACGCAATCCGCCAAATGAGGGGTGACCGTTTAGGCCAATTGGTAATAGTCCGCGGCATGATTACCCGAGTCACGAATGTTAACCCATTTGTGCAAGTAAATACATATTTATGCGATCTCTGTGGCGAGGAGACATTCCAGGAAATAACCAAGAGGTCATTTATGCCATTGGCACAATGCACATCAGAACGATGCGCAAAAAATAGCGTTGCCGGGAACTTGCACATGAATGTTAGAGGGAGTAAGTTTGTACCTTTTCAAGAGGTTAAGATGCAGGAATTGGTGAGTATGCGTTGAGATTGACCCGATTTGTGGAAATTTTACCGTAGGAATTGCTGGTTAGACCAATTCTCCCATCCAATGGATTCGTTCTTCCACATGGAAACTTTCTTATTCTTAGATCAATATTTTTATTCTTCCTACAGACAGATCAAGTTCCTGTAGGTCATATTCCTCGTTCAATGACTCTTCACCTTTATGGACCCATCACCCGCTCACTCAACCCAGGGGATATTGTCGATGTGGCTGGCATTTTCCTTCCTATTCCATATACAGGCTTTAAAGCTTTGCGTGCTGGTCTTCTAACTGATGTATATCTTGAGGTACACAACGTGACTCAACTCAAACAACAATATGATAAAATGGAAACCACGCCCGAGATGTATTCTCTTATTACAAACTTGTCTCAAGACCCAGAGGTCTATACGAAATTGGCTAAAAGTATAGCACCTGAGATCTACGGTCATGAAGACGTGAAAAAGGCATTATTACTACAGTTGATCGGAGGCGTAACCAAGCAGATGGGGGATGGAATGAAGATTAGAGGGGATCTGAATATTTGCCTGATGGGAGACCCTGGAGTCGCCAAGTCGCAGTTGTTGAAATATATATCCAAAGCTGCTCCGCGAGGAGTTTATACTACTGGAAGAGGAAGTTCTGGAGTGGGTTTAACCGCGTCTGTTTCTAGAGATCCAGTGACTAGTGAGATGATTTTAGGTAAGCATAAGAAGCAATTAAGGTCTCCAACTAAGACATGTTAGTAAATGCGACCTTTTCTTTATTGTAGAGGGTGGTGCATTGGTTCTAGCTGATAATGGCATATGTTGCATTGATGAATTTGACAAGATGGACGACACTGATCGCACAGCTATTCACGAAGTAATGGAACAACAGACTATAAGCATTTCGAAAGCTGGTATTACAACGACTCTGCATGCGCGGACGTCCATTCTCGCAGCAGCCAATCCTCTGTATGGGAGATACAATCCTAAAGTATCCCCAGTGCACAATATCAACCTCCCGGCAGCATTACTGTCTAGATTTGATATTTTGTTTCTAATTTTGGATACACCCACACCAGAAGATGATACACGGTTGGCGCAACATATTACTCACGTACATATGCACGAGAAACATCCGAATATGGATTTTGAGTCATTGGATACCTTGACGATAAGGTGAACTGAAATATACTGAAATGGTCACTGATATAATTAATTATATATTCATTGTTTACCTTAATATTCAATTATATAAGGCATTACATTTCTGAAGCACGCAAGAAGCGCCCGGTGGTTCCGGAAGATATCACATCTTATGTCGTTAATGCATATGTCAACTTGCGACAAAAGCAGAAACAAGATGAATTACGTCAGAAAGAATGTTGGTACGTGATGAAATGATGTGCGTACACGTGATTTATAATCTACCATTGGGTATTGTACCAAAAAA